CTACAAACACATATTTTTCTGAGGCATGTGCAGACTTTGGTGCTTTGCAGGCCCACAAGCACATCTGTGTGGTGTTCTTTGTTCTGATGCTGTGTGTGGTCATAGATTACTCTCTCAGGCTGTACAAGGGTGCATGCCTTTTTCATATTCCTCAAGCTTCCCCTTGGAAGCAATGAAACAATCCAAACAGGATTTGTCACAAGACGAAGGAAGCCACCCCTTTTCAAAATCGGTGCAGTATGTATCATATTTGTATGTCAAACTCAGCATCTGAAACAGATAATCACAAGTGTATTATAGGCAAGTGTTTGATATGCTAGGACTCGGTCCAGAACCCACTAAAATTTGATTTTTTCCCTTCCCCTAGGCATTTAAAGGAAACTGTTGTGCAGGCAAAAAAAATAATAATAAAAAAAAAAATTAAAAAAAATCATCAATATGAAGTCTAACATCTATTCATTGTCCGTCACATGCTGTGTCGCTGTGTCACGTTCCCAAGTCAGTGTGAAAAATCCTGATATAGATAGGGTTGATATATCTTCTGTCCCCTCTCCAAGCTGTGAGCAGGTAAGGAACACCTCGTTTGCAGCCTCCTTGCCGGCTGAGCACAGTAGATGGGCTTCTGGAGGGCTGGGCTGAGCCTTAAGACAACAGGGAATAATGGGTATAATGGAATGGGCTGGGATGGGCATGGCCGGCACAAGAGTGCCAGGGGAAGAGGTTTTGTTGCTCACCTTGGCCACAGGGCTTGTTTCTGTCCCCGCTCCTGAGCACTGCCTGGCAATGCCAGGGAAATAGCACTCAGGAAAGGCCAGGCGGGAGGTTTGGGCCTGCTAATACCTTCTCTTCCAGAGCCACCAGGGTGCTGGCTGGAGGACAAGGACATCTGAAGGGGCAGCGAGGACCTGTGGCCAGGCTGTGCAATGGGGAGGGCTCAGGCAGAGCCTTCAGGACTCCCTCAGGAAAGGTGGGGGCACGCTCGGTGAGCCACAGAGAGAGCTGCCATCCCTGGCCCCTGGAGTCCCTGCAAAGGCCAAAGGGACAGAAAGGTAGAGGGACACAAGGGTTGGCTCCGTGGTGCAGGTCACAGAACCATCTGTGTTGGAAGGGACGCAGAAGGATCGTCGAGTCTGACACTTGCAGGCAGTGCTCCATGCAGGGAAGAAGCTGCATGGTCCTGCCCTTCATGGGGATGGGCACCAGGGCACAGCCAGCCGGGCTAGGGGCAGCGTGGCCGTGTGGGCACAGCCCAGGGCTGCAGACAGTGCCTGCTGCAGCTGAGGGCAGCCAGCGTCACCCAGCTGCTCTCAACAGAGCAGCTGTTGAACCTGCTGGTGTCCAGCAGCCTTTGGAAGGTTCTGGAAGGCTCCCTGCAGTTTTGGCAGTTGCCACAGCAGTTGCTGCTGCAATTGAAGGCTGCACTTCCAGCCTGGTGCCTGTGCTCTGGCTGTAATGGTAACTAAACCTCATCCCCTTGTTCCCTTACCCCAGCCCTCACTGGCTGTACTGCCGAGACCCTGGCTTGACCCCAAACCAGGAGCCTGAGGAGGTGTTCTGGCCATAGACAGCCCCATGAGCAACTCGAAGCTGATGGGAAAACTGAGGGTGTTCCACAGCAGGGCCTGGTGCCAGCAGGAAACCCAGGGAGAGCCTTGCTGCCTCAGGAGGGCCCTGTGCTTCCCTCTCTCACAGCCTGGGGGACATCCAGGAAATCGCCACCGTGTGCATGGCTTCTGCTCAGATTATTGTTGGGCCTTCGCTTTTGGCCACCAGCAAAGGCAGGGGCTGCGCTAGAAGGACTCATTGCATGTGCACAACACATTTTTATCAAAAATAAGGAAACTTGAAATACGAATTTTACTCATTTTTGTGAGTTCTCTTAAGACTCTTTGCTGTCTTCATCTCAGGAGAAGATAGGGCAATGGTGAGCCACAGTCATAAAAATGAGAGTGTGAGACCACTTCAGATGGAAAATATTTATATCCATGAAATCTAAGTAACAGGGAAATCTGTGCTGCTCTGCTGCTAAGTGTGAAATTCTGCTTGGCAGCCTGCAAGTTTTAAGGTAGAAGAAGAAAGATTTATTTTAGATTTTTCTTTTCTTGTTTGTGTAAATAAGGACATTTTAAGGCATGTAAATATAGTATATTTTTTTTTCAGTTTTATTTGGAACTGTTATAAATGAAATTCAGCCAAATTTATCAATAACAATTTTACTGAAAAATTTGCAGAATCGAATTTTGGAAACCACCACAATCACTGTCAATGACGAGCCTGGGATTGGTGCTGGGTGAACTCTGAATCAGCCTCTGTAGCACTGATTCCACAAAGTTCACAAACTGTCTTTTGGAGAGCTGAGTTATATAGAGTTTCTTCAGCTTGAGGCTATGCATTTTAGTTTTTTTCTTTTTCTTGTGTTGTTACATATTCATATTTCTGCTGCTGGACTGCTGATGAGTTTTCTGAGAAGGAGATGAAGTTTGAGTGGTTTTTTTCAGGAAGCAGGCTTTGAGATGTAGAATCGTGGTGAGTTTTTTTCTCAGAAAGAAAGGGAGTCTGAGTAACTTTTTCAGGAAACCAACATTGAGATTCATGGTCCTGGAGAATCAGATGAGGTTGGTATCAGGAGTTAATCACCGGATCGTTAAGAGCGCTTATCTTGCTTGGGTGGACCCACCTCTTCTCCTATCTTAATTGCTGGGTCGTTCTTTTGCAAATTCCTGGTTTTCCAGCAGCTGCTTTTGCAATCTCAAGTTGCTTGTGTTTTTTTTTTTTTACATAAAACATGCTTTTCTACTTGATTTTATATGTGTACAATAAAACGCGAATTATGCCAACATATATTACAGGAACCTTGAGACCCATGACACAAGGGTCAATCTCTTAAACTCAAGGACTGGCAAAATGACACAACCAAGGTCACTACTGTACATAAAAATGTGCCCTGTAAGGTACCATACATTAATCATCAAAGTTGGAGGCTATACTAGATGAGCCCCATCACTAGATCACTAGATCACTAGATCACTAGATCAATCAGTTCAGAGCTTTCACAGGTAAGCTATGATTTCTGAGCATCAGAGACTTTCTCTTCTGCAGTGATATTTGCCTCTTTTTCAGCTGGCTTTACAATTAACCAGGATTTCTCTAGCTCAAAAATAGAAACCTTTTTTCTTTTTCTTTTTTTCTTTAATTTTAGTTTGATCGCTAGATAAGGATGAAATGGCAATTCATAGATAAAAGGACTCAGAAAAGTTAATTTTCATGATCCTAAACAGAAGTTCACTGACCTTAGCTTTATTACATTTCTTATTGTAAGTCAAGTAGTAGAACTTCTTCAGTTATGGAGGTGAAGCTCATTGTGTTTTTTAATGTTTAGGAAGGCTAAAATATACCTTAGAGTTCTGTAATTGACATACAAATAATGTGAGTGTATATGTTTCCTTTCTACAAAATCAAGTCTGTACTCAAGATGAGCAGGTTATTTCTAGGAGACTATAACCTCTGGAGAAGCAGCAGTTAATTCAAGATTAATCTGTTAATTTCTCTCAGGATAAAAGTTTAAATTTTATGTTTCCTTTTCCTGTACATTCAACTATGTTCTTATGATTATTTAGCATTTTACGATTTCACTGGTGCTTAGATTTTAGTATGTGTCAGATAAACATCTGAACTTGTTTTTTTAAATTTTTTTTACATCTTTATTAAAAGCCATGACAAAGCCACTGGGTCTGATTGTGCTGCAGCAGAAAGTGTAGGCTGGGGTTGACTGCTGAAGCCAAAGCATTCTGCAAGCAAAGTACAAAACTGATTGTAAAACTCTTTGGTTAAGACCATTTTTATTAAAAATGTGCATTGATTTTCTTAAAAACGAGATTCACTTAATAAATTATAAAAAGAATTTAATATAAATAAAAAGACAATTAGGAGACAAAAGAAATAAAGCAAAGGGTTAAAACGGCTGGGTGCCCTGGCGGGTTGCCAGGAACACCCCTGGTATCTCAGGAACACTCTTTTTATCCCCCCCTACTGTGAAGGTTTAATGCATATTCAAAGCATCCCCTCCCTGGTTCCGCCTTCTTAGATCATGCTTTTGTACAATTTTTATTTTCTGCTGGTCAGCATTTATTTTTGCTGGTCATCATTATTCTTGCTGGTCATCATTATTTTGGAGTTTGGTTTCATTTCTTTTTGCAAATGGTCAGGGCAGATAACAGTCCAGGCCCTTCATCCTTCCCCTGAGGGCAGCTGGGCTTCATATCTTCCGCTGATAACAGTTTGGCCTCTATTGTTCTCCTGATAACAGCTTGGGCCCCAGTGTCCTTGCCCTCTGGGGTTTCCTTGCCTTGTACCTAGGAAATTCTTTTAAGCTTAAGACTTGTTAGCAAGGAAAAAAAAGTACGTACATAGCTAAAAAGTATTTCATATATAATATTCATCTGCGAAAGCCAATATCACAATACAAATTTATAACAATTTCAATGGTGGTGTGTCTAAGAAGATTGTATCTTCTGACATGACGGGGGTGCTACATCTAAACAAAATTGATCCTGTCCACCAGCAGTTTGCTGTATTGTGTTAATTCCTATGGAAGCAAGCAGAAACTCACTGCCAACTTAAGACTGGAAGTATCTCACAGCAAATTACTATTTCAGAAGAATTCTACTGGCTAGATGAGCTGTAGTCAAATGACAAACATGCTTCTGTTTATTAATTTTCTTTGAGGTAATGAAGAAAAATCTCTGTGTGCATTTACAAACATGTAATCACATTTTGATTTCTGTCCACTTTTATTATAAGCGTGTCAGGCTGCACAAGTGAAGTCCTTCAGGAAAGAGCTGAAAATAGATGAGACCTGCTGAAACTCCTTTTGCATTCTCTTTCCTTCAGAAGCCTTTCCAACTTGTACAACTACCCCCTCACAAAGGCTCATCTGTCTAAATCTGTCTAAGGAGGTGGATACCAGGGTTACATCTGCTCTGGTGGGAGAGGATCAGCAAATGAGCAGCAAGGAAGATTTCAACAGGCTAGAAAATAGCGTCATGACCTCTGGTGGCAGAGGAGAGTTCTCAGCTGATTTTAAGACACAAAGTAATGAAAACTTGGCTGCAAAGCACTCACTGCAAAGTGGTTTCTCACTAAGTTATGCTGAACAAGAAGACAATGTACCCGCTTCTGAAGTCTCTAATCCTCTTAAAGTTACTGAAGAACCTCAGGCACAGATTTTAAAACCTGATCTAGAGATACCACATCAAGCTAAAGTCACATCAATACCACTATCTTTTTTCCCATCTAAATTTCAACAATTACTGTTAGCTGCAGCAAGAAGGGTCTCTGAAGCAAGGCAGTCTACAGAAACACAATCTGTAATTTACATATGGCCAGTAATAAAGTTGCAAGAGAGTTCCAGATCCTTCTGGCAAAATTTTTCGAAGTCTTTAATATCAAGCAGCCCAGACTTAACAAGTCACTGTTCTAGTCCTGATGTAACTGAAGATGAGAAATGTTCCCAGATAATCCCAGTGAAAGAAGTTGCACAAAAAGAGCCAGATGGAAAGACAGCAAGATTCTATCCTCTTATTGTAAAGTCATCTAACAGTGCTGTTTCAGAAATTTTAAAGTCACTCACCAGTATCAAGAATAAGGATTATAAGAATATGTTAGTACTTTCATCTGTTAGTTCTATTGCACAGCAACTGGAAATTCCTCTCTTTAAGGGAAATGCTCTAATGATCTATAATGGTCAAGTCTACCTTCTGTATGTAATGAGGCATGAAGATCTGGCAGCAGAAATGAAGATATCTGGCCACCATATGTTGTTTATGAAGACCATTGTTTGGCTCATTACGTGTCGTTCTGTCCGTAAACTAACATTCCAAGTTTCACATCCACTGCTGTTGAGAGAGGATGCTGTGAAACAGAATACAAAATGTGTTCCAGCCTGTGCTACCCCCACAACCCAAGAGGAAGCATCAAATGAAACACATTTCTCTTCACACAAGATGATTACAATCTCTCAGCCTGAGAACTGCTCCCTTCTTGCAGGGAAAAGGCAGCAGGTGGTAACCCATGACGATCAGGTGAGTGTCTATGTATGAACAGTAAATTGATCTCCTCTTAGACATAGCTGAGCACAAAGTGCACTGTTCATAATATTCATAACAGGCTGTGAAAGATGAATTACCTTTTTTTCAGTTTTTGTGGGGAAGCTAAACAGAAATTCAGGAGATACAATCACTGTAGAAGAAATAAAATTAAGGCTTACAGGCCTATAAGACTTTACTGCTTTAAAAATATAATGCTGAGAAAAAAAAATTTCTTGAGATATACCAAGTTTTTTCTAGTATTTGAACATCACAAATGCATTGCAGTCTACTGTTATTTTGAGAACAGTAGAGCAAAATTTAATATAATAGCAAGATATTTCCCAAGGGAGAAGGTTGGGTTTCTGAAAACAGGTGACGAGTGCCATCATGATAATTTTTTTAAGTAACAGTGGAAGAATAGAGAAGGGCTGGCATGCAAGATCCCTCCTGAATTAAATTCTTCTTGCAAAGCCACATCCTCAAGGTATGTGAGACTGTAGAAAAAAATCTGTGAAAATAAACTGGGCTGGGAGGAAAAATGACTACTCAACTCTCACTTCCTGGTAGTCAAGTTCTGCTCTTTCCCATTTCAGTTCCTCAGCAAGACTGCCTTCCCATCCAAAGAAGACTTGCAAGAAAGAAATTATGAAGAAGCACACCGGGATAAAGACAAGGAAATAATGAAGAAATTTGGTCTTGTTAAAGGTGTAAGAGTTGTTCTCAACAGGCAAAGTGTCTCTGAGCTTAGGAAGTGGACTGCCTAACCTTCTTCATGTAAAAAGAAAGATTTTTTTTAGGGCCATTAGGACAGAGAACTGAGGAAAGTGCCACACATACTTAACTCTCTGTACATAGTATGGAGCATACTTCACTTTGAAGTATTTCTTATACAGCATTAGTATAATTCTTGAATATTTGTGCATTTAATCCCATAACATAAAACACTTTCTCCAAAAACTGCAGATAAAATGCCAGCTACTGCTGAAGTCTTTTCTGACTCTGCCTTCTCTTTGGCACTCTTACAGCTGCAACTGAAAGTAGAAAAAGTGCCTGATCTCTTACTGATAGCAATGTTTTGCAGTCTGTCCGTGCCAATCTGTGTCTCGTAGGCAGAAACAGGAAGCTCTCCACACCCATGCTAGGCTTTTTCTGGTTTGAGCATTGCTATTCATTTCAAGTGAAGGTGCCAGAAGTGCAAGATGCATGTTTATAGTCATTGACCTGCTCTGGAGAAAGTCTTGCCCTATGGCTTTGCTTAGAAGTATTATTTGGCAGTTTTGCCTGGTATCAGAGCCTCTGGGAATAGGTGTTTGCTTTCTCTAATCCCTGACATTTTCAAACTCACAGTTCAGATTCACCTCTTGTTTCCATTTTGTATTTTTCTACAACAAAGCTCTCAAGATTTCTTCAGCAGGTAGATTTGGCATGAATTTCCAGAATCCTGGATCATTTCAGTATACCTGTGTTCAAATTGTTACTCTGCAGATAAATTAGTGATCAATAATAAATCAGTATTTCTCCTTGATCTATTTATTAACTCATATTCAGCACTAAAGTTCCATTTCTGTCAAGTGGATGTTAAGCCATCATCACTCAGCCTTTCCAAGATCTTTGAGAATGGTCTGTTTTTGTTGTCTCTGAATGGGAGCATCTTTGGTCTACCCTCAGCATTCATGAAAATATACTGTATCTTCTTGTGAAATATTTTGAGGTTGGATAGAGCAAAAGTCTCCAAAGAATACATTAAAAAAACACAGGTACAACTCCTGGATTAGTTTTGGGTTGTTTTGTTGTTTTTTTTCCTTTTTGCCAGGACTCAAATGAAAGTAAGAAAATTACTATTGGCTGTCATTTCTCCTAAAATTTCCTTCCCAGTAAATATGCCAAGGCAGACCCTTAGGATAATCAATTTTTTATGGCATTTCTCCATCTATATATGTTATAATTTTTCAACATGTGTTCCAGAAATCAGATAAGATCAAATACTTAGCAAAATATTTTATGTTTGGCTGTTTCATACAAATGCTTCCACTCCCTGGACTGCTATTGAGAAGTTTCAGTTTACACCAGTGTTATTAGTAGTTCTCATTAACATAAAGGGTTATTGTGACTGCTTTTCAGTGTTTTCTGCTGCCATGTCTTTTCCTTTGCAGATTACATTCATTTTGTTACATTCTGTCATTTCACACAGACTGTGTTCTTTGCATGTAAAGCCGTTCAAGTAATAAAAAGATGCTACATCTTCTTTAAGCTGTTGTTCCTCATTTATATCCTGCTCTGGTTTCTTTCATGAAAATTGAGCTCATGTAGAGGTTGTGACAGTGGGATTAACCTACATTTGTTGAATCTAGATGGAGGACCTTTCAAATCCAAGTTCCCCTGGCTAAAGGGAACACCTGTTCAAAATCTTTTGTTTTATACGCAAGACATGATTTACAAGAATAATAATAGCTATTATCAAAGGAACTGGAATATCCTAAAAAAACACATCATATTCTGACATGGAATGAAATGGAAGAATAATTGGTAAGGATGTAATTAAATACATAATACATCTACTATTCAATACATAAACAATAGTTAGTATTCAAAGAGCAAGAGAAGAGTGGTACCTAGGTTACTATCTTAGTTTGAAAAAGGTGTCTGCTAAGGAAGGCAGAAACTTTCCTTGAAATAAATAAAAATGTAAACCACCATGTCCCCCTTTAAAATCTTATAATTTTGAAATCAAGGTGCTCTCAGGCAAAATATGGGAATAGGAATAACAGTTCTTTACTAAGGAAATTAAAATTAAAATGCAGTAGTACAAAAAAGAAAACCAACAAAAAGAACCCCACTGACAGAGTCAGAATACAACCTGATACCCTGTTGGTCAGGGTGTTGGTAGCAGTCGGATTAAATGGTGGCTGCAGTCCTCCTGCAGTGACAGATGTGATAATGTTGAAGCAGTGAGCCTATAGAATGGCGTATTTTTTTTTCTGAAGGTCTAGTGGTGGTGTAGATAGGTCCAGTCTCTCCTCTGGGAATCCAGTGGAGAAAGGCTGCTTGTCGTGTTCCGAGTCTTTCAAGATATCCAGGTAGGAATGCTTGTCTCCTCCCTCTGAGTGGACCACCTCATGCTGGGATGATGTAATTTTATCAGTCATGCTGTGAGATTCAATGGCCCATTAGCAGAAGATATACCCCTGGAGGGAGGATGGGTCATGGAAGAGATAAAGAACACTGCCCCACCTGGTTTTAACAGCTGGTAACAGAATACATACTTTTGGTTACTTCTTGCACTGCAACCCAAGACAGTTATGTCCAGAGGGCAAGGGAAGGACAGATTCTAAAAGACCGTGGACCATAGAGATAGGGGAGTAAGAATTACAAAGTATTGTAAACAGCACATACAAATCATGATTCAGAAATTACAATGTAACATAGAACCAATGCCTAAATTGTTTACCTGATTTTGGTATTCAATATGATTATTAATTCTAGTGGATAGTAATGTGCTTCATCAAAATCCTTCAGCTCAGTCCCATTACCAAAACACATAGGAGCTGATGGCAAATGCAGTCACGAACCTTTGTTGGGAGCTCTAATAAGCACCCTGAGGGAAGAGTCCTCAATTTTCAATCACATGACGATGAAGTTGCTGAACTTACCAACCATTGCAGCTTCTGAGTTCCCCCTTTTGGCCAGGGGCCAAGCTGCTTCCACCTTCTATGGTTCCTCCTCCCCTGCTGTGTGGAAGGCCGCTGTCCTCTCCCACAAGAACCACCACCCTCACCACTTTGCAGGAGCCTCCAGCTCTAAGAATGGCTGCTATAAATGTGAGAAAAACCAGGTGAAAATCTATTGCCTGTGTTACATGTGATGTGAAAGGGATAGACCTAACCTTTGCTTCTGGCCTACATATTTTATAGATTTATAAACTATACTATACTATACTATACTATACTATACTATACTATACTACAGATTTATTGACTTTGTGAAAAACGAAGTTCACTCCTGTAAAATTTTAAAAAGGTTTAATAAAGGCAATAAGAGACAGAAAATAAAGCAAAGAGTTACGGCTGGGTGCCTTGGTGCGCTGCCAAGAGCACACCTGGTATCTTGGGAATACCCTTTTTGTCCCATCCTGCTGTGAGGGTTTAATGCATATTCAAAGCATGTCCCCTCCCTGGTTCTGCCTTCTTAGAATATGCTCTTGCACAGTTTTATTTTCTGCTGGTCAGCATTTTTTTTGTTGGTCATCATTATTCTAGCTGGTCAGCATTATTTGAAGTTTGGTTTCCTTTCTTCTGCAAATAGTCAGTGTTGATAACAGTCCGGGCCCCTCATCCTTCCTTTGAGGGCAGCTGGGCTTCATATCTTTCCCCCCTGCCAATGTCCTGGTACCGGCTTTTTGATAACAGTTTGCTCTCCATTTCCTGCTGCTGATAATAACCTGTTTTCCACTGTCCTTCTGTTGGAAAAACAGCTTGGTCCTCCCATTGTCTTGCCTGTTGGAGTTATCTTGCCTTGTCCGGATGAAACATATCCTTACCATTCAGAATTCCTATCTAAGCCTATAACTTGCTAAGAGAGAAAAGAATATAGCAAAAGCATATAGCATATAACATTTATCAGAATAATTGTGAAAAGCCAATATTTACAACATGAATTCACAACAACTTAAAAACCTATCTAGATTTTGACAGAGTATAAATTCCCTTCCAACTACAGCAGTCAGATTATTAGTTTCTGGAACTATATGTAAAAGCATCTGTTAAAACCTAGTTTGATTTAACCAGTTATTTAGAGAGAAACAATGTTAGGAAACACAGTAGGGCTTTAAATGTAGGTAATTCCCTTCTGTGTTTCTCATTAGATCAATCAATCATTACAATCCACTATCTTTATATATTTCCTTTGTGTACAGAAACTCCACAAGTCAAGAAACACAAATGTCCTAAGTTTAGATGAGAGGATGAAGCCATCCAAGTTAGAACGGAGGACAGCCAGGAAAGGGGGTTTCCTGTTAACAGGAAACATTTTTTTCAGAATTTGGCTTCAGTCTGAATTAGATGAAATCTTTTTATTCTTCCCAGTTCTCCAGTCAGCAGGAAGCTGCTCAGACACTGGAATGGCTCAGCTAAGCTCCCTTTAATACCAACAGCAAAGCCAGGTATCAGCATCACTGAAGGCTGGGGCTTCCCAGATTCCCTGACTCCTTGGCCTGTCTCCCAGGGGATGGCTGTGGGGTTACTTCAGGATTCTGGACATTTGGCAAAAGTTCACTAAGTGCAAGAAATTTTAGACTCTAAAACATGGACTCTATCAAAATTTGTTGCATGTTGCATGCAAACTTTAAACCTACTCTTTTCATCTGGAAGCTCTGTGTAAGGCACCGGTCTTCATAACACAAAGGAGAAAGGCAGTGGGTACAGAACCATTTGTGCAGTCGTGATAGCACTAAGAACAATGGGAATTGAAGTTACAATTTACAGAAATTCCTTGCAACATACTTGAGTGTCAGGAATCTTTTTCTAGGCTCTCTTCTAAGTGTGATGTTTTGAGAGTGGCTGAGCTTCAGCTGTCTGCACTCCAAAACCACTGTCCCACATGAGACAGTGCCCAAAGACACATTACTGTTTCTTTTGTCCCTTACAAACACAAGAAACTTTTCCACTGCTCAAACCATGGCAAGATGCTCCTTTTGTACATGGTATGTTTTGCACCCAGCACAAGAGGGGTCTTTAGCACTCATCTGACACTAACAAGAAGAAAATAC